GATCCTTCGCTCCGTAGCCCTTCGTCTCGGCACCATGTTGATATTTTATTTCCAGACTGCAGCACCTGTCCCAAATGGGATTCCTGTGTCGTACAACTCAGCCTGACTCCATGCTGTACTCCACTCAAGGTACAAAACGGGGCAACAAGAGCAACCAAACCCACCATTTTCAGTAGAATTCCCCAGTGTCAGGACTGTACCGTTAAGTCAGCACGCACGTCTGCCATTTAGATTCAGTTATGCGACAGATGTTAATACCACCAATGCAATTTGTATTTGATTTCTTAGATCTAACTCCTACTCATGTATATCCTCATTCAGTAAGGAACACAGATCTCCAGGGTCTACTGGTAGTAAGCTCCATTGATCAACTTATTGACAAAAGAGAACGATGAATAAACTGACTGCACTGAAAAAGTCTGCAGCACCATAGAATTAGTACTACCAATCCATCATTTACACATACTCTGCTTCATTGCCCAAGTTAAACCTGGTAGTACTGTATGAATACATCACACAAATATATAATTGCCTTCGATGACTTTGATTACCTTTAGTACTTCCTGTATGTGCTCGTGCAGCTCCACTTCAGTGACTCGATCAATATGCCACTTCAGTACTTTTATAAGATCTCTAGAATAGCACATCAGAAAGTATTATAACACAGAGGTGGGAGAAGGGTTAACTTTGCATGTAAAATGCAAACCAACAGCTGTCATATGAGAAACGCTGACAAAATAAAAAAATACATGACTAGATTTCGCTAATCACTACACACCCAATATTACGCTTAGTTTTCATTCTGCTGAAAGCCACCTAGTAGATCCCTGACAACCAGCGTTACATACACAGTAGAAGGATTTTGACAGGGATACACAAATTCAGTTAGGCCAGAAGAGTCCCTGCCAGCATGGACTACCGCTGCTGTCCCATGCATCGCTTTGCAGTCTCATCAAACTGCATTGTTTTAATGGAAGTTCAGCTAGCAAATAAATACAAAGTACAGCAGCGTTAAGTGATTCTTGTTAGTGCGCTGCTCTGCACAGGCAGTGAACACAGTTGCAGCTGGATGATGTTAAGTTTCCTATGCTTTTCGAAGTAATTCAAATAAAGAAATCCACTGAAGAAAATGATATAAAAATGAAGCCAATGTTAGAGCATTAGCAAGTAACCTTTCTGGCAACTTAAAGGTATTTTATTCTTTTTTAATGGCCTAAACCTGGGCATTCATACGAACATTGCATTTTATTTCTAATGATACCGTTTAATTTAACCTAATGATTGATTCTGCTTAGTTTACCAATAACTGTCAGTATTCAAATCAGATAGAAAAAGTACAGACTTCACCTGTATGCCAGTGCTCCTGCAAAATGACTTTCAATGTAAGTGTCCATTACTGGTTTAAAGTGGTAAAACTTGCTGTCCTGCAGCAAATTTATTATGTGAACCTAAATGTGAGGGAAAAAGAAAAAAAAAAAAGAGCCTTTTTTTTTTTTACTTAGTTCTTAAATAGTGTTAAGCATCATCACATGATGAAACTTACCAAACAATCAAATACTTTTGATCCATATTTTTGAGAGTTTTCATCTAAAATCCCAAATAAAGTGTCTAGTGTATCTTGAAGAAACTGATCGGAGAGAATAAGAGACAGTTTGTTATTAAATAGGTATTTCTGTGACATGAAAATACATTATTTTCCTCATATTATCTAAAGGGATAGAAAGGTATATACCTTCACTATTTCCGAACCATCAATTTCTTTTAATTTTGAGAGGCAACCTGCAATTTTGTCTGGGTGGGTTCTCCATTTCAGAAGGTCAAGCATATCTCCTGCAAAAACAAAATGCGAGATGAAAGTTGGAAGCAGAGCAGCACTTCAGATTTTCAATTCTACTATTACAGTCCGCTCGGGAAAACTTGGCATCATTAAAACAAAAGAAAACATCTCAAGATTTGCTATGATATGATCTGTCCAAGAAAAAAATTTCATTCCATCCCATAACCGCTCCACCAATAGAAACATAAGAACATGGTACTGGGTCACTAAAATGAGGTTCCTGTGGCAATTATTTCATGCAATCAATGTTCAGATATTTGTCAACTGCTATCTTAAGAACAGTAATTCCTTTGCTGTCTCTCGTCCCATTGAAGGATGCCTTCCAGAGCTGTCATCTGGTGGCTAGAAATAGTCTCCTAATTACAAGTTTGAATACATTTAAAATACTCATCTTCCTATGTGTTTTTTAGGGAACAACACAATGCCTCTAGGATCCTGCTTTATTAATAAGTAACACAATCTCTTCTGGAAAATAAACTCTTCTGAGCTAAAACATACCCGAGTGTCTTCACACCTCCTCCAGTTTTAATTCATTCTCCTTCAGCTTTCTTGACCAAAATGAGATTACATTTGGTCAAGATTACAACACTGTTTTCTGTATCATTAGCAAGCTCATAGGTCTGCTGTAAACACGTGACATACATGTTCTAGAATTTGAGGGCTTTTTTAGATACATGATATTGGTCACACCAATAGGATTAATACTGTTCAGCTCCCTGGCTACGGCAGAATACCCAGGAGAGTCCATTAGGGAATGATCCTCTCTTTTGCACCACTGGATTTCATCTAATTTCTACTCTTTCTCATTAAGTATTTAAATCAAATATTACTTTGCTTTGCCTGTATCGTATTTGGACTTTGTCCTTCTCAACCAATGAGCCCTTTCAACTACATATTAGCAGCAAACTTCGTTAACAGGCTCTCTAGTGTCTCAGGTTTTAGTGAAGTAACTTCCATCCCTACCCCCTTCCACTCCTTTAAAAAAAGAGATGAATCCCAGGCCTAATTCTTCAGACCTACTAGTATTTTTCTTCCACTCAGGAAGGAAATTCCTTCCACTACAATGCAACCTGTTTATTCCCTTTTAGCCTTTATTTACCAGTTTTAAAATTCTTATTCTAAGTTGTATCTTTTCTAATATCCCAGGTGGTGTGCTACTGCAGTCCAGACGGTTTAGATATGCTACATTTCCTCTGAAGAATAATAATAAAAAAAGCTTTGAAAAGAAAGATTGAGTGTTTATTCTGGCATGATATGCCTTTGATAAACTCATCTTACACCACACTCCATTTAGCTACATGTCCATTTTTTAATCCATGATTTCTTGTAAATACTTGCATAAAATTCATCGAAGGGTGATGGCCCAGTTAATACATCTGCTCTTCCACCTGTCTTAAATGTAGGTACTATACTTATTACTTAGGTCATGTGTTACTGCTTTCAGCTTAGAGATGTACTAAAAAAACCCACCTCGCTATGAGATGGGGAATTTCATGCCCCATACCATTCAATATCCTCAACAGAGTTTTGCAAACTTGGCTTGGCTTTTCAGCAGTTTTCACTTGATCCTGACCCTTGCTGAACTCTGACATGTTGCTGTTATTTTTCACCCTTCTGTTGCAGCTTCTCTGCTTACCCCTCACGTTTTCTGCCCGTGACTCACTCGCTCAGGTCTGCAGCACTCCTTTCAAGTTGTATTCACATATTTTTGAATGTATTCAAATTCACATATTTTGAATTAAATAAACCCCAAACTTCCTTTACATTTAAATTTACTACTTCCACATTTCAATTTCACTAAGCAGCTTTTCAGGATTTCTCAAAGACTGGCCATTTGAAGCAGAAAACCTTAGCCACCATCAAATCCTTCCATCAGCTTAAGCTGAACCACTGTCTAGCTGATCACTGTCCAGCATCATGTGAGAAGGATCCAGCTCTTCTGAAATGTTTTCAGTACTTATCAGACAAAGAAGCTAATAGCAAGCTTTCCTCTTGGTTCAGCAACTCTGTGGATGCTTTCTACCACAGACTGTTTTCACATGTAAGTAACATTTGAGTGACACCCATCTTTGTCTCATTTCTTTCCCAGTTTGTTCCAGGAAAGCTCCTCTCTCCCACAGCAAGAAATGAAGTAATATTTCTGTCTTTAGTAACATGAAATAAATCACCTATATTCAAATCTTGCCAGAGGTCTTAAGGGCAAACACCCTACATGCTATTCCACTAACATTTTGCTGCCTTAATTGATTTTGGTGGGCACAAGTTGTTTTTATGCATTTATATGTTTCTCTTTTTTTTTGCTTCATGCTGTGGTAGTATGCAATGGTTTGGATTAAAAAAGATCTTTGAGTTGCACTAAGGGTGCTGAAGGTCCCGCACGTGCATCAGAGACCCACCCCAAAGATCAAGGACAAATGATATGTCTTATTATTCCTTCTGTCAGGAATTGTCAAGAAACAAGCATTACAAATCCAGTGAACTACATTTGTCTTTTGGATAATTAAATGGACTTCTACGCTTTATTCTGTTTAAGCCTCAACTTAAGTCGAGGAGTAGCGAGACGAGCTGAAGCTGTCAGTTCATAGCAGGAAAACCACTTCTTTACAGGTTTGCTGGAGGAACTTGGTGGAAGATGGTTGACACTGAATATTAGGGATTTGTTGGGGGATTAAAAAAGAAAGAGAAAGTAAATGTAAGACACTCACTTCAAAGCACTTATTTCAAGGGAAATGCTAAGGAGGAAAGACATTGCTGAGATAACATTAGCGAATAGCCCAAGCATAAATGACGCGAATAGGAAATCTGACATGTGAATCACAAGGGGAAGGGATAGCAACGTGTCATGTATTAAGAGAAATGAGAATATAAAATTGTCCCCCAAAATAGGCCCACTAGGAAAACATAGTTTTGGAAGAGGGAAAAAGTCAATGCTGCTGATAAATTTTTGCTAAAGAAGAAAAACATTTCTAATGCCATCTTTTAATCATGATCAGATTTGTACATTTAAAATAGGCTACACCTGACCTACCATTCCTACCAAACAAAACACTTCCCTTCTCCAAGTTTGCAATTTAACTCCAAAGCGCTAGGTTTAATAAAAGGTTTAGAATCATGTGTATAAGGAAGTGGTTTGGGATGATCTCTCCATCTCTCTCCTGTAAATCCTGAGACATCAGAAATCGGCCTGGTGTAGCACTACTGCACTTCAAAAGGACAAAGACGAATTCCAGAGCTGGCAATCTGCATTCCTCTTCCAGCAGGCTCGCTTCTGTGGTTTCCAACACTCCCTCCAAGCTGCGGTCACTCTGGAAAGCTGCCACCTGTTACTTCTGTTTCCTTAATAACCACTTCAGCTTTTTTTAAGTGCAACTAGAGGGATCACACCTCTGCCTCGCGATAGACTCGCTGTACGGCACGTTGCTCCGCCGAGGAACGGCTGCTGGCTGGGGATGTGCCGATCAGTGCTGACAAAGGAGTAGATGCCAACTCGCTAAAATATTCTGACTTGCTGGATGGATCCTGAGTCTCTGGCAGGCAGAGATCCCTCCTATATGTCAAAAACTAAGTAAGACTGTATTGATAATGACTCAGTAGAAAAATACTATGTTCTTTCTCGGTCTTTTGGGTTTGGTTTTTTTTTAGGATAATGAAGTTTAACTATCCAGCTAAGAATATAATATATAAAAGCTGGTACAGTTTTTTGCTTGAATTAACAGATTAACCATCCAGCATCAAAAGTCAAAGTAAGGAAAAGCTAACTGGCAGACGATTAGATAAGGACATGTTCTGATGAGATATGTTGATGAATGCACAGACTCCCCCGGTTAGAAGGTCTCTGAAAATTCTTTGGAAATAATCCTAAAATCCCCTCCAAAGTACCCAGGGTGAGGAAGTTACATATTCCAACAACTGGGAGTCAGCCTCCTTCCCCCAGTCCCCATAATTTTAATATGCATGAGAGCTGATGGCATGTGGGAACAATCAATGAGAGAATGACAGCTGAGTAAAATTTCCCAGCAAGCTAATAAAGCTGTGGCCTAATTCAGTCACACCCTTTACAAGTCTGGGTTTGGGGTCCTCTCCCACCCCATGGCCAGAACAATAACATAATTTTCAATTAATTTCCAGGCTGGACATTGCTGTTTGTAGACACAGGCAAGTTCTCTGAGAACTTCAGAAAAATCTCCAAACTTAAAAACAGGTTAAAAAATAATCATCAATTTTCAAAAATACTAATACAAATGTTTACTAAAAATGTAAAAGCACAACTCTTTTTACTCCTGTATTTTTTGATAAATATGCTACATTCTCTCAGGGATAACTGAAGTAATGCTCACATGACCAAATATCCACATGCTTTGCTCTATGTCTATTTTCTGAGCATGCAATAGGTTTTGGCAGATTTTTGTTTAAAAGAATGGGGATTTGGAAACTCACCAAGATGAACTTCCCAAAGAAGATCCTTGGAGAAAATATGAGCCTGTCTATTGAAAATATTTCCACCCTCTGAAGTACTGCTGAAATAATTGTTAACTCTTTCAGAGCTGAAAAGGGGATCAATATTATTCAGATATTCTACACCCTCTTACTCAGAATATGGTTAAAAAAAAAAGGAAATTTTATGCCCTATGTCACACATCTAGTTACATTAAGTAAGAAATAACTCCTCTATTATGAACAAAAATTAGTATTGTAACCCCAGACAATAGCACAACTATTTATCAGAGAGACACTTAAGTTCTGGGCAGCACTTCCATGCATGTGTAAGTACCAGCAGATTCATGTGATTTCCTAAATCAAGGTCTTTAACTGAAGAAAATTTAGTCTCTGATTGCCTATTAGCAACCTTTGGGAAAATCTTTTATTGGCTAACTTTTATTACTTTGAAGCTAATTGCTGTGAGAATACAGAATGGATGTGCACAGTGAAACAGACCACTTACTGTTTGCACATAGTTCTATTTTGGACACTTGCTAATAAATGGTGAAAATTAAGATGATTATTTAAATTTAAAAAGCTGCTCTAGTTGTTGTTAAACACCTATAATCAATTTGCAAGAAATTATCAATATTATCATACATATAAGAAGGGTAAAGGCACAGTCATACACACAAGAGAAAGCTAAGGAAAAATCTTAAAACTGTGATAAACAGTTTAGAAAAAATAATATACAACTGCGGGGTTATCAAAGAATGGTCAGAAACACGTTACCAAGCAAATACACAATAATTAGAAATTTGTGGAAAACTGTTTCACTTACAAACTGCAGTTAATATGGTAACTAAACAAGAATTTTATACAGAGCAATGGAAGAGCGCGCAAACGCATTTTCAAACATATCTCTGCTGCTCCTTATAGCCATTGTATAAGAGTGTTTTAAGTAGCAGAAAATGTTTGTTGGCTTAAAGGAAGGAAGTGATACAACAAAAAAGCAATTTGTGCCTAATTAAAACCAAACTGCCACAGCCTAAAGCCTAGAATAAGTATTTCATAAAAACTCTAGGAGAAATAGATTAAGAGGTTTTGTAAAGCAGATGGGTTTTGATAGTTGATTCCCAGAGTGCTGCATTTGATTCCAATATCGTGTTAATCTAAAAAGGATTCTTTAAATACTTAAAATCAGTGGTTTATCATGCTGCAGTGGTTTCCATCTGGATATAAAAAATTATGAAGAAAACCAGTTTGTAAAATGGATAGAACATAAGCTATTTTTGAGTACATCCATGCTTACTTGGCACGGAAAAGGCTAGCTATCACACTCATTTGAATTCGTCATGTTTTAAATAATCAACATATCCTACCATTTTGTGTGAGTTTAGTGGAGCAGAGAAAGGACGTAATCCAGAAGGACTCTTTAGTGGTTTTTACTGCTTGGCTGTTGTTTCCTAGGAAAATCCCCTTTGAAAAGGGGAGTTTGAGGTAGCGACCAGAATCCTGAAGGTTTGTGTTTTCTTCACACTGTGAAAACAAACCAGCTAAAATAACTGTACTGCATAAAAACAAAGGACCAAATCCCTAAATTGTATGAATTATTATTGTATCTTTCTGCCAGAAAGTGACAAATTTTCACTATGACTGTTGCAACTTTGGTTTTGGATCATAGCTTCATATCTCAAATTGATGTCTAAAAAATTTGCACAGGTTATGCCAAATGAATAGCTACAAGTTTTGATGTTAAAATCTAAAATTTATCTGGGAGCATATCGAATCCTCTGAACAAAGAGATAACTGTTAAATGTAGAAACAGAAAATCCACAAAACTAAAATATCTAAAAATGGTAACACTGAGTAAATCTGCATAATTGTGCTTGCTTGATTTTCCAACTTCTGCAATTCAGTAAGAGGGTATCATGGAGTTCATTTTGTGTGTTTTAACTGAACTGAACTTTGTGAAATCCATTATAAATACAATGGATATTGGATTTATATACTAATAAGTATAGTAAATATAGTAATATAATAGTAAGACCTAGTAAAACCAGTGCACTGAAACACATATCTAGATTCAATTGCAGTTTGTAACAGGAAGCTTAATATTAAACAATCAGCAATAGATATTTTAATGGTGACAAGATTATCACTCATTTGGTAATGAATGCAGACTCTCTGCACCTAATGTTTCTGGGCATTTAAAGTATGTTCCAGAGGAACCATTACAGATAATGATTACTAATTCAAATTACCTTGTGTACAATGAGTTCATGGGTGCCATCTGGCAGAGTCCTCCCGTTTTCCTGCATCAGTGGCACGAAAGAAAAGCCAAACAACTTCTTCTCACCCTTTTCTTTCGCTGAAATACATAGGTAAATAGCAGCATTTAAAGTTAATATTATACATTTTGGACAAAATAAATGGATATAATACAGCATAAGAAAGTATACTGGAAGATATTTGCAGCTAGTCAGACTAAGATTATCTTAAATTTCTTTTCAGATTGGCACGTTATCTCCTGTAATGGTTTCTTTTATCTCACTGTAAATCAGAAAGCAGTATTCTGGAATGATTTGATATTTATTAACAATAACGGAAGCCATCAAATATGCAGTCTCAGCAGCATACAGAATGCCAGGAAACCCAAATGAATGTGACCTAGGCAGTTCAGCATGAAGAGAAATGGGGTTTTTTTTGGTCACAGTTACCCCCTATAGTAGCTTCTGCTTATTGGTCTCCATTTTAGGCCAGTCTCAGACTACACTGCGCTTCTATTTTCAAATAAGGCATCTACCTCTATAGATATGACTGAAGATGTCACTGTTCCTTACATAAATGTTAGACAGCAGATAACGTTTTCAAGCTTGGATGCCTAAGCTGAAATTCCAAAAGTCATACATCACCTAATTATAAAGCACACTACAAAACACTGCGATGGCACAGATTTTACTGAAGCCAATGAGTGCAGATGCTGAACACATTTGAAAAAACAACCACTTTTTCATCAAATGTGTATATATGTCTTTTGAGTCCAGACTTTTAGCACAGTTGGGGTGGTGTAGGCAATCATAACAAAAATACCCAACTTGTACTGCACGGGAAAGATCGTGCAAAAATGTATCATCTGTTTGAAACACACCCTGATGTTTTTCCTTTATTACTTCATAGCTTATAAAAGAAATCTTAAAAAGAAATCAATGAAATTTCTTCTTATATTACCTGTTCCTTACATTTTGAAGTTAATGTTCCCAAAATCTAAATATACTATAACTTACTGTGTGTGCCACTTTCCACAAAGGCAATCTAAATAATCAAATCTCGCTATATCTACATCACCAAAAAGAGCCAACAACAACAGCAGTTTAAGGCGTACAATTTTATCCACCTTTCTCTTACAAGTTTGACAGCAGTCAGCACCATAGCTATAAAACCCGTCTCATACCTTGGTACTCACAACATCGACGCAGACCTCAATTATTACCGCAAAATCATCTCTAAAGTTGTACAGAATGTTTAGAGAATTTTGTAATTTTATTTTATAAGTAAAAAAAAAAAAAAGGCAATAGAAAAGTGGTGTTAATTGACCATGATGCATCTACGTACGTTTCCCATCGGTTGGATTGCTAAACATGTATTAAGGAACAAGTATAGTTTTGGATAATTCACCAGGTAAATTCTCAATTTGCATTTTGAGTTTACCTGAAATTCTGTTTACATTTGCAGCTGCAATGTTGTCTATTTCTATTTTATAAAACTAGACTGTTTTCTCCTGGTATTTAGGCTTTACCAAAGCACTGAGTTCCACCAAGCAGAGCTGCAAGCCTGAGAAGCTCTTCAGGTGTCACGAAAGCATTACAGAGAAAGTTCACGCAGGTGTCTTTTTCCTGAGGTATCATGGAAACTCATGTGCCGACTGGAGCTGTAATGGAGAGGACTAGGAGAAGTTGTGAACGCTGCTTACTGGAACAGTGCCGGAATTCACAGCGGATGTGTGCTCCTCTGAATTTATCCACAGGAATCGGAAGTTTCAGCAGCTCAGCCCATCTGGGGCCATTGTTATGATAAAGCACAAAGGAATGGTACTCGCTGGCTGGTGGCTCTCCAGAGCCGAATGAGATAAAATCCTAATGAAGAAAAAGTATTGATTAGAGATTAAAAGCAGGTTAGTTCACTAGTAAAATGGCACCAAGGACTGTTCGTACAAGGAAGACTATTTAATATTTACATTAATATGATGAATGACACATATGGTATAATGCTCAGTATCTTAAACCCCACAAAAATAGTAGCACTTTGTTAACATGTGCTGGTTAGAAAAAAAGGCAAAAATTATACACACCCATGAGAATCAAAGTATTATAAGATGGGAAGTGGGTGATTATAAAGGCTTAAGCAACAAATGTGATGTGGAGTCCCATGACACAGCGCGGTCCATCCAGTGTTATACCCAAGCCTCAAACAAGAATTTAACTGAGACAAGAACAGTCCAGGCTTAAGATCTTTAGTCCTCTGAAATAAGCCTATAACTCTGCTGTTATCAGTGATACGTCCTAGCATGGAAAAAGAAAGAAATCTGGATTCCCTGATTAGGAGAAGCAAAACGTTGGCTGCCTTTGCAACACCCATGACAGTTTCTCCGTAGCAAAGTAGACAAATGGATTTGCCCAAGTCCTGACTTGGATATACCTATTAATTCTCTGTGGCAAAGGTAAGTTGTAGCTTTTGTCCTCAGCAATTATAAGGGATCACCTTTGCATCTCAATATCCTTTTTTTAAAATGGGTGTGTATATATATAAATATTTATGTATTTTAAATATATAAAAATACATATACACACGTATATACACACATGTACATATATATATTTACACATATAAAAACATACATACATGACATGACACACATTTATATGCACAATCTCACTTTACACACACACACAATTTGCACCAGACTATTTGTGTCAGCCTTTCTTCATTTTGTCACCCCATAACCCTCAACATCATGCAGAACATGTGAAAAAAAGTACTTTCAAATAAAAGGAAAAAAAAATGATGGTAAAAGTGTATGGAAAAGGTTGAAGGTGAACAGAAATCTTTTGGTACAGAAAAAAATCTGAGAAAGTCACCCATTATAATTAATAATTAAAATATAAAACAGTGCCTGTTTGTAAGCTATCACCAGCAGCATGCAATCAAATCAGAAGAAGGAACATTAATTTATTCTTTTACTGATACAGGGTGGTGATTTTTGCATCAAGGATCTCTGATTTATTAAAATCAGACAAAAAATTGAAAATTATCAAAACTTGTTCTGTGTAACATGAGGAAAGGCATAGCTACTAAGAAGAATTATGAAATAAAAAATTCTCCAAAACTTGATCTTGCTTCAACATTTTCCAGCATCTTAATGGAATCATTAGTTATTTGGATGGCAATTATAGGTGTTTATCTGAATCATGTAATTGATCACAGAAATAAAAGAAACATGTATTTTATAAAGGTTTTAAACAAAGTGAAAATACTTTGAATATCTAAAGACAGCAAAAGATGCATGACAGCAACAGCATGACCTTTCCAAAGAGATTTTGTACTCTTCAGACAGTGACACAGATGATTCATGTCTGACAAAGTGTATCAAAATTAACTACAGCAAAGAAAAACATACAAAAAGGATACCTTTAAAATTTGACCACTGCTGTCCACAACATGCATTGTCACTTCCACATTTCTGGCCACACTTTTCCCTCCTTTCTCAAATTCTCCTCTTTCTACAGTGATATATAAATCATTCCTCATTTCACCTATTAAAAAAACCAAACAAAACACAAAGTGTGCAAAAGTCAGTTAAATCATTCCTCATTTCACCTATTAAAAAAAAACAAACAAAACACAAAGTGTGCAAAAGTCAGCTCAACTTGCTTACTTTTTCCTTTTAGGACTTTAGTAGACTCTCATCTTCTCTTCCAAAAAAAGGACAGAATCACACCCACAACTTATCAGTATTTTTGGATTTTAAATAATAACAATTGTTTTCATAAACCAAGAAAACCAGCAAAGCCTCATCGCTCTAAAAGCCCAAGAAATTACCTGCCATACTAAACCAGTTCTATGGGCTTTTACTTCTCTGTTAGCTCTTTTTGGTCTTTACAGTGGCATCTCCAGCTATACTGAAGCTGGTGTCTAGCTTCACCTCATTTAATTCCCCTTTTAGTCTAAGGCAATATTAATGTATTTTTTTTTCTTTTGCAATCTTTACACTTCTATTTTTAATGTCTCCTTGAAGAACTAATTACAACTTTTTTTACATTTAATCTTGGAAGAAAGTGTATTACTTTGAAAAAGCAAAAAGCTAGAGGTTGGTGTTCTTCCCATGAGAAGGGCAGGCTTCCCAGATTGCTAGCATTCATATCTGTCTTTCTGATCTAAAAGATCTCAACACATTTTACACTGACAGGGTGTTCCGAAGTTTTCTAGCAAAAAGTTAGCTTAGTTAGCTTGTTTTTTGCTTGTTGGAAAGGCTTCTGAGAAATTACGAATCTTCATCAACACATTCAAATACAAATCCAATAGAGGCACTACCTACGTGTTCCATAGTATGTACAAGTTATTAAATACTGCTAGCATGTTAAAATTGAAATTCTTTGCATGTTCATACATTAGCATGCTAAGTATTCTGTCAGACCATAACCAGATCTGGATGAGATCAATGGTAATTTAATTTTAGTTTCAATTGACACAACCACTAAGTTTATAGTTGATGAAAGGAAGAAAGATTGTTTGGCAGTTGGGGTGCGGGGAGAGAAGCAGTACTGGTGGTGACTGGAGTGCCATGGCAGGGAAGCCCCTGTTCTGTTTGAAGATGCTAAATATGTTTCTAAAATGTCTGTGCTAATCTAGCTCTGGAAAAACATTTCCAGAACTACTGGGAAGCAACTGGACTTGTGAAACACTAGAAAAAAGGATGAACAGTGTCATAAATAGGATGCTCAGAGCATAATAATCAGGAGCATCTTCTAAAATACTAATTTCTAGATTTGGTAGAAACAGATATTGAGAATATATGCTTTCATCTAGTGAAATCCAAGGGAATATCCTCTTTTAATAAAGCACATTTTCACTGAGCACTGGTGAAAAGAAATCAAGTATGACAGTTTTGTCTATTTACAGGTGTACCACTTAAAAATCAAACATGAGATGGATACTTGTGCTGTTGGTAAAATTAATTAAAATACATGTAGCTGATAAATAATTAGTGCATTTTCAATTTCCGGCTTCATTTTAATGTGCAAGCAGGATTTGACCTGCTTGAACTTTCCAGGATACTCTCATGTTTCACATTTCTTGCATTTGTTTTACTGCATGCAACTCTCCAGTGATTTTTAAGTACCAGAAACAATGCTCTTGCAACAGTCTTCTAATATTTTTATAACATTATTCCATCACTGTATGCAAAACAATTAAATCATTCCTCCAAAGCACAATCTAAAACATTGCCAGATGGAAAAAAAAAAAAGGGAAAAAGAGGAAACTGCAGTATTATCAAGCCCCCAAGAACCATGCCCATTAAAAAGCGGGGGGAAATCTGCTATTGTATTACCTTATCATCAATTACCTACTGAAACAACTATGGACAGAGGCTACCATACAGTTACACAGAATGAACACAAACAAGTACAAGGACCAGATGGTACACACTTCAGAATTTTGTGTGAAGTCAAGGATGAGAGAGCTGAATAACTAATAAGCATGTGCAAACACTGAATCAATCTCTGGTTCCCAGTGGGAACCACGTTCAAAATAAGCAAAAGATGGTGGTTATTCAGGTAATGGAAAGCAAGACTTGTTAAAAAAAAAAAAATCCATAAAAGGAACCCCAAACCAAAAGCTAAACACAAAACAAAACCTTCCCAAAGGATGTTGTGAATGTGTGAAATGTGTAAGGGCTTAAGGGGAGAATGGAGAAGTCGTGGAAGGAAGATCCACTGGAGGATATGAAACAGACAGTCACAAGTAGCTCCAGAAATCCCTTGAGCTGGAAATAACTGGAGGCTGGGAACGCATCGGGGGTAATTACCATATATGCATATATGCTCTGTTCTTATTCTTCCTTAGGTATCTGTTTACAACACTCTAGATGGGCCCTTGGTCTGAATCAGTAAAGCTGTTCTTATGTTTATTCAAGTCACAAATTACCCTTAAAACTACTAGATTGTGATTATTTCCACACTGCAGTAATGTTTTATTATAAATGTTTTAGAAGCTAGTACAGTATAGTTACCAAAGGGTCCTTGCTTAGCATGCGCTTATGCTAGGATTGGTTCTAGTTAGTGCTGGCAGTTGGTCACTTGCAAGAGTTTTACATTCAGAAAAAATGGCAACAAACAGTAATCAAAAAAAGAAGTTTGTTATATAACTGATTTTAGCAAACAACTTGTAGATGCAGCAATTTCTCTTTAAAGATTAATTTGACTTCTACATGCATTTCTGCTACATTCAGTCATTATTTTTATTTATCAGCAAGGTATTATTTCCGTTTTCCATGGGGTCTTCACAGAAACGTAACCAAATAACCATTTCCACTACAAATTTCATGACCTAGCCCAGAATAAACCCAGTGAAAACCAAATTTATTCCTTTTTAAACAGAGTAAACTGTACAGGACTTAAATTAAAATGAAAATTATAGTGGAACAAGTTGCCCAGAGAAGTTGTGGATGCCCTATCATTGAAAGTGTTCAAGGTCAGGCTGGATGTGGCTTTGAGCAACTTGAACTAGTGAAAGACATCCCTGCACATGGTGGGGCAGGGATTATAATCTTGGTCTTTAAAGATGATGTTTAAAGATACCTTCCAACCCAAACCATTCTATGCTTCTATGCAAAAATAAGAAAGCGTTTCTAAAAGAAGTAGTTAGAGCTTCACAGAAGTTAAGCAGGCTTTCAAAAATGGTGTCTGCATTTTAAGGTTTTTAGAAAAATCCAAACCCAGTGAGTTTCAGCTTTTTAATTGCTAGAAGAAACCAATTCACAGGAGTAGGATGTATTTTCACAAATACTGTCCAGTTCTCCTCTTACAGAGCCTTGACAGAGTTTTAATCAGTGTCATGAGAGGATAGTTCAGATGAATTTTGTCCTGGTCTACATCCATTCAGGAAGCTCTACTCTGTTTTCAATGTCTCAGAACAAATCAAGACACGTGGGTGATGTTATTAAAAGAAAATTACAGATTTTTTCCATTATCATGCAAGGCAAATTAAATCCAAGAGGACACTAATCCTCTCACACTATATGAAGAAGAACAATGTTTTATATGGAAGGGAGATAACTGAAATAGATTGGAAAATTAATGAAAAAGAACATAAACTATAGGCTGTATACCAAGGGTATAGACTACATCAGGCAGATATAAGAGCAGCTTCCTTTTCTCAAAGTATGTGACATATCTGACATTTTATAAGCTTCACAAAAATGTAGGTTTTGGTTTAAATTTGGCCTTGTGTCTGGATTTATGCTCACACATATTTCACTCTTGTTTTAAAAAAGATCACAGTTGCAACCAAAATGTAAGAAAACCAACTGTATTGAACTTGGACAGTTCAGATAAGTGTACTGGAACGTTAAGAACTTAAAGCCACGCTCCTAACAAATCTCTAGCACAATATTTGTATGGACATATTACGAGTAAAAGCTCATAAGATCAAAAAGTCAAAGGGGTTGTAAAAATCAAGCACAAAGCCCTATCAGAAAATAGCTGACTGTAAAAAAGAAAATGGATTTGGAAAGTAAATTTCACTCTAGAAAGGAAAAAGGAAAGAAAATTATAATAAAAACTTAGACAAATACATTTGGATCCAAATTTTAAAAATTATTTCACTCTCAATATATTGCTCTGGAGATATCTTAATCACTTTTACTTCTTCAGTGTGGAAATACCATTGCTTCAATCTTCCTTAACAGAAATTGTCTCTCCAAAAACTGAGATTGTCTGTGTAAAACTAAGTTAGGGCATTCTTTTGTGGGCTCTCTTCCAGTAAAAACATTCCAACTTCCTCTATAAAGTATTCAAACATCAGCAAATTGTTGAATTTATCTATATTCATTTAAATGAACTTTTTAATTTATGGCAACTGCAATTACACAACTGAGTACAAGAATATGCACCATTTTTCTATGGGATCTTTGCCTTAACCAGCATACCAGACAAATAATTCTGACAGACTAAATCATCTTGTTTTCACTTAGAGTTGCAATTACAGCCATAACTAACACTGAAAGGGAAATTTTTTGCTGAATATCTGAGTTCTGGTAGACTTTGGTGAGTACAAATGGTATCTCAGCTAAAGCATCTGCATGACTCAAATCTCTCCTAGGTGTGTATGTATTGAGATTTCTACACAGTCTTATACTTGACCAAATGTGAGGACTTTATGCAGAAACAAGAGAGGCACATCTTAGTACCGTACCTCAGACTTTAACTACTGGTTGAAAACATGCCTGTAGGATTGAATCTCAGTAAGATATGATGAGACTTTAAACATGATGAAAAAAGCATCAGACATTCCAGGTTATATCCCTCAAATCTCTCCTAGGTGTGTATGTATTGAGATTTCTACACAGTCTTATACTTGACCAAATGTGAGGACTTTATGCAGAAACAAGAGAGGCACATCTTAGTACCGTACCTCAGACTTTAACTACTGGTTGAAAACATGCCTGTAGGATTGAATCTCAGTAAGATATGATGAGACTTTAAACATGATGAAAAAAGCATCAGACTTATTCCAGGTTATATCTATGTTGAGA